GTAATAGTGAAGTGAAGCCATCATGCCTAGGTCATTAGGATCTTATGAAATGATCTTTATAGTATTGGCTTTAGTTTAGTCATTTTTGAGGAGTAATGAACTGGAGTTGGGTCTTAGTTCATATAAAAGTCCAAGGCACTAAGTGTTTAAGTTCCTAGACTAATAAGGGTTATAATTAATAATGCTTAATAAGGAATGAGAGCTCAGAGTATTTTCAAAAACCTTGTAAGGTCAGAGATTTCACCCTACTGGCATGCTAACAAGTCAGTCTGCCATAGTTTCAGGTGTGTTGGCCGAAGACACAACATCCAGGATCAGAGACAAAGAACTTGTGGTACAGCAAGCACTGTAAGCTTCATGTTCACACTGCTTTCCCTTGCCTTCTAGATCCCACAGGGTGACAGCATGATGGGCCCAGGTAGATACTATGCACACAGTTGGTTTGTGTTACTGCTGAGGAACCCAGGCTTAGGGAACCCAACTCTTTTATAATGGACTGAAAGCAAATCTGCCTGACATGTGCCCTAGAGGGAGATAAAATGTTTTGAAAGCAAACAAACCTTCCCTCTGCTCTGGAGAGAGACACTGTCCTTCAAGATTGTTCCATATAAAAACATCCTTGAAAAAGATAGTTTAGAACAAAGGCCATCAATGCTTATACTCACAAAATATGCACATATGTGAGAAACCCATAGAGAATAGCCTCTAAATAAATTTATGCTGGCCATCTGGGAATAACCTTGCAAAGAGGTGTACCGGAGATAATTAATTTACCTAGTGTTCATTTTACTCTGTAACATCTCCAAACTCTTCTGGGGAAATTGTCAACATAATATAGGTAAATATTGATGCCGAAAATTGAGATCAGCAAGTATTCAGCATCCAATGAATGACCAACACTCTTTGAAACATGCAATAGAAGGTACAACTCATGCCTTTCATTTTACCCAAAGATAAGTAAAGTAGCTCACACAGAGCCCATAGGGCTGCATGCAGCCTGCCTAGCTCCTTAATGCTGTCTCTGATCTAATTTCACAGTGAAAGATTAGGAGGTTGTCTCTGAATCGTTACTTCTCAGATATGCCCATATATTTCCATATCAGTGGCTAAAAAGCATTAACAAGTTTCTCCTTGGTCATCCTTTCACTTAGTAAAATAGGTATTTTAAATTTTAAGAAAGTGCATTTTTCTATATAACTCAAAAAAGAAAAGCTTTTTTCCTTTTCAATGAAAAAAAAACCTCTTAAGAGATATTTTTCCTGTTTGATCACATAGACCAAAACATTAAAAACACAAACAAATAATCCCAGCTAGTTACTACTAATCATATCTAAGTAAGAATGAATGTTTCTATGGAATAAGTGACCTGTCAACTTCCCACAATTCAATCACATACCAAATTTCACTGAAATTTATTTAAAATGAAGGATAACTTCTTTCAGATGGTCATGTTGCCTTCCATATTGTTTTAGGAAGACTGAAATATAAATCGGTTCTACAATATATTCATATAATCTTCATTCTTCAGAGATAAACATTATGCAAAAATCTCCCAGCTCATTTGAAAGTTATCCAGAAGCAAATGAAACAGTAATGGTGGACTGAAAACAATATATATTTGTCTCCTTTAAAATATCAGTGATTCTTACAAAGACCTGGCTTTTCTTTTCTTTTTTCTTTTCTTTTATTTTCTTTTTTTTCTCTTTCTTTCTTTCTTTTTTTCTTACAAAAAACAGAACCATTTAGCATATGCCTTCTTTGGTTCTTGGGAAGGTGGGTGGAGAAAAATCTTAGATAGCACAACAGTTTGTAGAACTCCAAAGGCCACAGTACAGAAGCAGATATGTAGTATATTGCTGGTATTAAATTTTAACAATGGAAGATTAGGAAAAAGATATCTAAAAAGGTTTCTTGCAGGGGCATATGATAATGAAAGAAAACGTTCAGAAACAGTAATCTAGCATAGTATTTTGATCAGTGTTGCCAGGTGGGAACCACTAAATTAAGGAAAAAGAATTTTATTGAAATGGTATCCATAATGTCATTGTTACAAATTTAAAAAGTTTTTTTCATATTCTTTATGTAATATCATATATACATACTGTTTTGTATTATATATTCATCTTTCTACATAATTTTCATACTGACTTTTTATAAGGACACATAAAATTCAGTTGTATTGTGCCTCTCTTCTGGTGTACTTCCGTAACTTTACAAATTCCTTCCATGTCTTCTTTGCCATTTTGCTTCTCATGATTTCCTAATGAAAGTTGAAATCCTCAGGAATTGTATGTTCTTCCCCCACCTCTTTTCATATACTATCTAAGAGTAATCTTAATTAGCTTCCAACAACACTCAGGTCTTTATTTTTTTATTTTTTAAAGATTTTATTTATTTATTTTTAGACAGAGGGGAAGGGAGGGATAAAGAGAGGGAGAGAAACATCAATGTGTGGTTGCCTCTTGTGTGCCCCCACTGGGGACCTCGCCCGCAACCCAGGCATGTGCCTTGACTGGGAATTGAACCAGTGACTCTTTGGTTCGCAGGCCAGCACTCAGTCTACTGAGCTACACCTGCAAGGCAGCACTCAAATCTTTTAGTTCCAGCCCAGACTTTGCTTCTGGGTTCCAGACTCATGTTTCCAACTTTTTACTGGATATCTCTACTGAGATGTTCTTTAAAAAATAACCTCGAAAGAACTCATCTCATTTTCTCAAACATGTTTATTCCTGGTCATCTAGATTCCTTCACCCACCCATCCAGGTCCTATTGAAAGTATTAATACTTTTACAGTATCCATCCTGCCCATGTACTCTGCTATCTTAGTCCTTTATCTCTTACTTAGATAATTACCCTATAGTCCTAAACATCTCCCCACCTTCTGTCTTGCCATCTTGAGTCTTCCACCACAGTGCTATGTGACAAGTCTTTCTACAGTGTAAATCTGATCAAGTCACTTCCTGTTGCTTATGGCTACTTTGCTCAATATAATAGCCAAGAGCTACAGAAAGCTATTGAGTGCCTGAAATATAGCTAATCTGGAGTGCAATGTGCCAAAATAAAACTGTCAGCTTTCCAACACTTAGATAAGATCAATGTAATATATATAATTATCATACACATTGATTTAAATATTCACTTAATATATTCAAATTGATTTTGCCTGTATCTTCTTATTTTTAAAAATATTGCTACCAGAAAATTTAAATTGTTTTATGTGGTTCAAATTTGTGCCACACATTGTATATTTATTCGACAGTGCTGGCTTATAGGATAATGCCCAAACTATATCATAAAATTATGATCTCTCATCACCTGGCCACCATATGCCTAGTCCATCTCATCTTCTGCTAACTGCCATTCAAAAGGAGCTGGTCTTTGTGTCAGATTGATCCGAGTTCACTCTTGGGACCTTCCACATACCAGCTGTGTGATCTATAGTAAGATGCTTAAAATTTCTAAGATTTAGTATCCCCAGATGAAAAAGAGAGAAAATACCTATTTCAATGTGTTGTTGGGAAGATTAAAAGGTACAAAAAATGTGAAGTACCTACTGCATAAAAATTAATTTTCCTACATACATTTTAGCCTCACCAAACTGCTTTCAGTTCCTCCTTTCTTTCCTATTGTAAAGAGCAGGTGTCTGTTCAGTTCTGTGTGCACACGTAATATTCCTAAAAGTGCACTATCCCCTTTCCCTGTTCAGTCACTAGGGTTCTACTTCCCTTTTATTTTTCATGTTTTCACCAAACATTAGATCTGAGGACCTCTGTTTCCCTTTATTCTTTTTAATCCAGTATTCTGTCCTAGAGAATTCATTTTAGAGTAAATGATTGTAACATTGAGGAAATCTCAAGTCAGATGAACAGCAGAATCAAGAAAGATTTTAACTTGTTCTTGCCCCATAAGACAATGTTTTATTTCTGTGATCTAATACACTATAGTCAATTCTTTAAAGAAAGAATGAATTAAATTTAATTTTGGAATAGCATCAGAAACAATTTATTTTCCTTCATTCCTCAGTTTTACTTCTCTTAACCCTCCTGCCTCTAAATGCCCCCTACCCCAGACCCACACATTTAGCTAACAAACATTAACTGTCTTGTTAGGGTCCTTTTAATCAGCTGAGCCAGTTGAGAAACCAGACCTCAGCTCACTGCCTTATCAACAGTGTAGCAGAGAGTTTCTGGCAATTGACATTTTGAGACAAATACTCTTAACAGATTTTGGAAGTAGTTTTAATGGCCAAAGTTATCAAAGGTGAAATGTTCTACATATATTTCCATTGGAAATTTCCATAAACATTTTTGGAGTACTCACTCATGTATTCTTCTTTACAGTTCTTTCCCACAGGAAAAGCTTAGAAACAAAGTAGCACTCTGAAAGGGATGATGAGGCTGGCTAAAATTCCTCAAATGTAAAATGTGCCCTTTAAGGTGATGTGGTCACCTTTTTTTTAAAACAATGATAGCGTTTCAAAATGAGAAAAGGATATGGATTAGGTAGGAATTGGATGCAAATGTGTTTCACAAATAGTGTCTTTTGAGATAATCACAGATGATAGTTGAATGCTGAAGGTATTAATACAATCAGTGTTTAACCTTGTGTAACTCAGCTTCATCAAATCACACCCTGTGCATTGATTGCATTAAGCTGGGTCAGTAGTTTCTTGCTTAGGAATACCTTACAAGAATCTTAACAGGGAGGCAGCAGTAGCTGATCAGCTGCTGTTTATTTGCATACTGAGCATGTCATCAATAATACAAAAGACAAGGCCTTTAAGTTGAAAGAACAGTGGGGTTGGCATGAATTTTGCTTAATGGTGTGTAATAAGCAAAGTAGTCTGTGGTGCCAGATACTGACAGGATCCATTATGTTAAAACAGATATATGTCTTTAATTTAGTGGTATTATGTAAATCTGACAGGAGTTTTCCCTTTATTTTCCTGTAGTTTAACTTTAATTGCTCCAAGATTAATTCCAATTTCTCCTTCCCTCCAGAGGGTGATGAGACTGGCGTGATGGATAATCTCCTAGAAGCCCTGCAATCAGGTGCAGCATTCCGAGACCGCAGAAAGCGGATTCCCAGGAATCCAGGTAAGACCCCTTCCAGCTCACTGGTATTGTAATACGTGAATGTTCAGAACCAATGACACCCTCACGACAAAAAGAAAAAAGAAAAAAAAACTTTCCACATGAGAACGTTTTTTAACAATTGATCTCAGTTCATGTGGAAAGTCTCAGCAAGCTTCTTTATCTACGTGATTGAAAGTTTCAACCTGGTAAAAGTATCTTCAAATAACTGAAGACTTTGCAAAAAAAAAATCAGAAACAATGACCCCCACTGTGTTTAATATTAAATACTTTAATTGTTATTTTATGAGCATGTGGTTTGTGTGAAAGTTGTGGTTTAAAACCATATATAATTAAATCATTAAAAATAATTGGCCCTAAGGATGTCACATTAGCTATTTACAGATAAGGAAATTGAGACAATATTTCTTTTTAAAGACCATTTTGGCTTTGCAGTTCAGTCCCTTCTCCATGTTAACAAAGAGAGCAGAGGTTCAGATAATCTAAGATCCCCCAAAGTCCCAAGTATTAGAACACATGTTTGTGTGTGTTTTTGATTAGTAACAAAGCCACACAATGAAAGTTGATCTCAGGGGCATTAGAAACATGAATACAACCTGTCTCACTCAAGTGTAGCTAGAAGGTTGTCCACATTCTCCATTTATACCTATGGCTGAAGTAAACAGTAGTTCCATTCAGGATAATCCAAATAGGCTGAGTTGTCATCTTCTCTAAGTAAGTTTTCATTTTTTTAGTCCATATCTTTCTTAAAGTAGAGGAAGAAATTATGTGTGTTGATTTTAAGTACCCTCTTCATGGGCTGTAAGGCTATATAGAGAAGTAAATAAGAAAAAGGAAAATTAATAGTTAATATGTAAACTCTACTTCATTTAGAGTAATAAGATTTGCCTTGAATACCCTACAACTCAAAACATATTCTGTACTTAGACTGGAAACTATCATATGTCATTAGAATGCAAATTGATGCCTCTCAAAACCATTGTACCCCAACAAACCAGTGAAAGAAATGTAGCATAGTGCAGAACTATCCAGGAAGCTTTTGGCAATGATGAAGTCTGTGGCAGAAGACAGTATAAGTTATATTCATCTTGTTTACATTTGTCTGAATCCTAATGGGTTGGTTTAGCCTGAAGGTAAGATATAATTGAGATGATGAAAATGTTTTCATTGGAGTATAAGACTGCTTTGTATATATGAAGACATTAAAGGTGGCATACAAAAAGAGTAGAACACTGGAGGAAAGAAAATTAAAATCTACATTTATATGTTCATATTACTTTCTTAAGGTAATGCTTCATGGGAGAATGTTAGGAACATTGCTACTCTGTTACTATGAAGTGGCCATTCCATCGATCTTCTGTCTTTATCTGAGAAATGAGAATGTTCTACCATGTGATCAGAGGCCCTTTTACCTCTTCAGGAAAACAGAAACCTTCACTTATCTTTGTTGAACTATCAGAGCATTAATAGTCAGTGGAAAGCAAACTGAAATAATTTTCGTATTGATTCAGTTCTTTGTTAAGCAGCAGATAAGTAAAAGCATGTTGTTCTGTGCCGTAACAGAACTGCCATCATCTTTCTAGTCTGTTTATTTTAAAAATACATTTGTGCTGCTTGGACAAAACCAAAGAGGGGTAGGATCGAGGGTGGGAGGTGGGGGATGGCTGGGATGGGGGGAAGTGGTGGGGGTAAAATGGAGACAACTGTATTTGAACTACAATAAAAAATGTAAACAAAAACACATTTGCTAGGGTCCCTGTCTGAATAGTCTCACATCTCCAGCTGACTCTAGAAAGACTACTTAGAGAGAGCTATCATTACATGGGGTTCTGCAAGTTTGGTATTCAAGGGAATAGTGTTATAAACTGTGAAACACTAAGAATATACTCAGAAACTGCATAAATTTATAATACTGACTCCAAGTAATCTAAATTGGGATCTCTTTTGATTTTAGCTAGAGTGCCTCCATGAACACATAGGGTCAAAAATATCAGCCTATTTAGCCCTGGCAGTCATTCCCTGTGGCAGCAGCCAATGCAAATGTCCAGCAGTAAAAAGAAACTAGAAGGCAGGCAGGCAGTTGCCATGATTGGTAGGGCATCTCGGACATCAGTGGAAGAGCTTGGAGCAAGGGAGAGGGGAAGACAGGCACAGAGTAGACAAGTCTGCCAAAACCTCTTCTGAATGCTTCTTCTTTCTAGAAGCAACAGAACCAGGAACTTTTCCAGGTTTTCTCCTTGTTTCTGACTTTCCTAGCCAAATTGCTTTTTCCTGCTGGCTGGCTGTGTGTGTGTGTGTGTGTGTGTGTGTGTGTGTGTGTGTGTGTGAGTGTTGACTTTCTTAGGCACCTGATTTGTTTTTTTTTCCCCAAGATTCCATTGAATTTATGTTATTACAGTTTCCCTGTTCAATACTGGCATACTTGTTGTTTTCCAACAATCTCTACTTGAACATGATGGGATAGAAGCAGTAAAACCAAATTATTTAAAAAATGGCCTTGGCTGTTATGGCTCAGTGGATTGAGTGCCAACCTGGGGACCAAAGTGTTGCCAATTCATTTCCCAGTCAGGGCACACGCCTGGGGTGCAGGCCAGGTCCCCATTAGGGGGTACTTGACAGGCAACCACATATTGATGTTCCTGTCCTGCTCTTTCTCCCTCCTTTCACATCTGTTAAAAAAAATCTTTTTAAAAATGGCTATTTTCTCCAAATAAAGTAAAATAAGAGGAAATAGCCAAAAATCTGAAATCATAATCAGCCACAAACAGCAAAGATGTACTGCTCAGCTTGCTATCTCTGTTATCACTTACAGATGGAAGTAATAATATGTAAAATACACAGCTCTACAATTCTGCTTCTGATCGCAGTGTTTTCAATTCCATATTTAAATGAGGTGATAGTGTATATTCTTCATTAGAAAATTAAAATGTTAATAAACGATATAATCAGTTGCCTAAATTACAGGTATTCCGCACTAAGCTTATATTCCCTCCCCAAGAGTCACCCACATTAGGTAACTTAGAAGGAGCTCCTATGTATTACCTACAGCCAGTTCAGCTGAGTGCACTGTTTCTAGTAAGGGCACCAAAAGACATGTTAAGGGAGACTGTCATATCAGGAGTGATATTAAAAACATTAATACCTGTTGTAGCACAGGCCCTAAGCAGTCAGAATATACACAGGCAATAAGTAGCCACTATGGTTGTACTAATTCATTCTGGCTGCATATCAACCCAGATTACAGATTTGCTTATGTGAAACTGAGATTAGGAAATGAGCCCCTAAACATTCATTAATTCATCACATATCTGTTCTGTGAAAGGTTATGAAATAGTGAAGATAAGACATCCTTAGTTATCCTTTTTATCTTTCATATAAGCCTTGTGTCTTGTAGGAAAGATAAAAAAGTATAAAAAGACTACAGAATGAGGCCAATGATAATAGTTATTATACAAAAGGTGTTAACATATTATGTGAGTTTGAAGGAGGGAAATATCATAACTTATTGGATATTACAGAAAAAAGTCACAAAGAAAAATGCTTGGAAGGATGATAATGGATTTTAGCAGTAGGAGTTAGAGGTAGGGATAATAGTAAGCATTTTAGTCAAATGAAATGTCATCAAGAAAAATACAGAGGTAAGAAAATACAAAGTATTTTTGGAGAATGGCAAATAGTAAAACTAATGGTTCTATAAAGTGTAAAGCTATGGAGACAATTCTAGAAAAGTAGGTTGGTGCCACATCATAGAGTACTTGAATAAGATATTGAGGTGTTAGCATATAATTCTTTAGACACTGGGGATATATTGAAGGCTTTTAAGCAGTGAAGGAGTGTGAACAAAGCTATATATTAGGATATTTCATCTATAGAAGAGTGAATGATGAATGAGAATTCTACTCTCATATTCTTAGTCAAAGGAGATAATATAGGGGAAGCAGAGTAACCAGGAGTTAAGGATGATTCTAGGGTTCTGAGTGTGATTAGTTTGAAGGACAGTTGGCTTACTAAAGAAAACTATTAAGATTAGGAAAATGACTGCTGATAGAAGATAAATTCCATTTTGGTTAAGTGAACCTAAAATGGGTGGCATAGCATTGGGATCAAGCTATTTAGAAAATTTCTGTAAATATGGGTGTAGATTTCATCACACAACTGAGTTCATGAGATTCCTGGAAATGGAAGAGATTGTTAGAGGGATTATTAAGAAAAAGGTCCACAACAAGAATCTTGGAAATGCCTCCACTTAGGGGCTAAAAGCAGAACTAGCTAAGAAGATAGACAAGGAAGACTTGGGCAGGCAGGAGGAGAATGAAGACACTCTTGATCTAGAAGCAAAGGAAAAGGAAAGTATTAAGAAAGTTGGACATATTAAATAGCGACATATACTACAGTGGAATCAAAATGGATAAAGACCAATGGTTTGCCACACTGGAGCTTTCTGGTGACATTTTAAGGACATCTTTTCAATATTGCAATGTAACTGAGAGCTGAATTCAGGAGTAGATAGTGAGGCTATAGGGATAGATAGTATTAGGTCAACAATTGAGCAATACTGTTGAGAGCCTCCTGGGTGTAATATACTAGGTTGGGCACTGAGGATCCAACACCAAATAGGCCCCTTGCCTCAAGGAATTTACATACTACTTGGGAAAACATGAATGTAAGCCAGTACAATTGCAACACAATCTTCTATGTGCCATAACAGTTAGGAATTGTATGTTTGTACAACACAGGAGTTAGAGTAACTTTCCCTACCCTCTCACCTTTGGAGAGCCCTTGCATCCCTAGAATGTGGGTTATGCTTTGTAGAAGCTTGGTGGGTAAAAGGAACATCTCAGTTTTCCTTAATAACCTAGTATGAATCTATTTTCTATGAAATTTGCTAAATCTTTATGTACCCTCTTTGTTATAGCCTTTGTTAGCACTTAAGATGCTATATGTTTTACAACACACTTTGTAAAGAATCGCCCATCATTATTTCTGATTTTGTCATTATAAGA